GCGAGCCAGCGTCACTCCGACCGACCCGTACGACAGCGAAGCCGCGATATGCGTCATGTCCATCGAACTGGGGGCTTTCCCTCAGGGATGGCGTTTCGCCCTGTCGGATGTCACGTACACGGGACATGCGAAGCTTACCGGAGGTGCGAGAGTCGAGAGCTTTGCTGTCAACGCGTACTTTCAATGGGAGCACCTCAAGAACAATGAGCCGATCGACGAGCCTACTGTTAAGAACGCTTCCGGATCGTACCTAGTGAGTGAAACTCAGATACAGGTTCCATCGTATTTTTAACCTCTTGGTATTCACCAATCGATAGATGGACGTCCCAGAGTCGAAGGTGAACCTCGGGACCACCGGGTTCTACGACCAGGATTTCACGGTCAACATCCGGAACGGCAACTTGGCTTGGTCTCCCTGCTTCACCGGCCAGGAGTATTCGTACGATGACAAGATGCAGGTCCAGTTCCAATTCCAGGCCTACCTGACCAAGGCGGGCTTTTCAAGAACTGGAAGCGGCGTCTTTGGTCGCGCCGCCGGCTCGGCTTTGACGGCGGACTTCAAGGTCGTTTGGGAGCAGTGCGATGCTTCGCAGAGGAATGCTTGGGGTCAGTTCCGGATGGGCGATTATGAGAGTTGTCAGCGCGTCGGCCCGACGGATGGCACAGGAGAGCCGACTGTGAAATGGTAAAGGTATAGGATTACTGGCGTGTAATCGTCATCATGCAGTCAGGGGTAGCTCTGAACAGATGTGAGCAGTGCACGCATTTTCTCCTATCATGGAAGCATATCTGAGTATTCGGAGTTAATCTGAACATGAGAGAAGGCCACAGATATTCATAAAATAAACATGGTACATAAATTTATCTAAGAACACGTATATATCCCGGTCTCTAACTCAAAATACAAATTTTGACATTTTCGTAGTCGGTAGGCCGTTCATACCGCTATCGCCCACTCCGGATATACCTCTTGCTCTCGTGGCACCGACGCCCTATTGCGGTCGTAGATATGCTCCTGCAGCGGAAGATCTTGATGTTGGCTACGCTCGCCCATATTCACGCCCCTCTTGTGGATGTACCTTGCGAAGCCCATCGACTGCTTCTTCCACTCCTCCCTGGACACCTTTCCGGCGACATAGTCCGCGTAGAGCATGGCATCGAATGCGGCCTGCGAGGTAGAGGCGACGGTGTGAGGCCGGAACCCAGCAAGTGCATCGCCGATGAGCACGACTTTGCCGTTCATGAATTCGTTTCGCGGTGTCAGCACGTCCGTCACGGCTTGGACGAACGGCTTATTGGTGCCGCATACGATCTCAGCGAATTGGGGCGGGAGCCGCTCGCGCGCAAGTTGTCTCTGCTTCTCCCAGGCGTTCAGGTCAATTACGCCTGGCGGTACGGTGATCTGGCGACGTCTTCCATTCCTATCCGTCATGATCTCCTCGAACTCGGCCGAGCCTTCGGGGAAGTTGGTATAGTACACGAAGTTGATGAGACGCTGGCCTGGTTCGACACTTCCGTCTTTGCCGGGGATCAGATATGCGAGAATCTGTACTCCGGGGCAGTGGAAGAAGGTGAATCTGTGGCTAAAGGCCTCCTTGGCCGCCTCGGTAGCCTCGCTCTCGATCAAGGTCCCGCGAAGGGCACAGTAGCCGGCGTATCGTCGTTCAACATCGGGTTCTAGAATCTTGCGCACCGTCGAGCTGGGCCCATCGGCACCGATAAGAATATCGCCATACGTGCTCCCTTCCTCCCCACTGCTTATTTTCCAGTGTACGCGTACACCATCTCCTTCCTCTTCAAAAGCCGTGACTTGTCGATCATGCAGATGCGTCGCCTTTCCATCCCCCTCAACCGGAGCTGGCACGTTGCAATACGGGCTCTCGATACCATCATAGTTAGCACGCAAGAGGTAATATGCCAAATCCCATGAGGTCATGTTCTGCTCCATTTTCTCTATGTGCACTACGCTGCCATCTTTATCGAGATACTGTCGCTGTTCCGAGTGGACAGCAAACGGCCGGTCGCATCGGTTGTATCGTTTGAAGAATGCGAGGGTGTCGCCCCCTGCAACTATGCCAGCTCCTTGGTCCTGCAATAAAGGGGCAGGGTTGCGCTCCAGTATCGTGGTGTCATGGCCGAGTGCTTTCAACGCAAGGCCAGTCGCGAGACCACCTAGCGAACCTCCGACCTATCCCATAAATTAGTACTAAGTGTTTATACAGGTAGCTTCGTACTACACATACTATCACGAAATGTAACTTCTTAAAGCTTTGGCCGTCCGCCGGCTGCTGAGTCGAAGGAGTGGCCATCGTTCAGTTCAACTCCAGTGAATGGAGTGCCATAAAACCACTCATGGGGTTGGATATTAAGTATTCGGCGATTACTGGCAATAAAAGTAATGCCGTTGGCTGATAAACATACGTCTTCAGAATTACCCGGAGGGGTCTTCTATTGAATACACCTGACGTGACGTCACATTGACCGAACGGCAGATGTCTGACTTAATCGTTTATACTAGATTTGATAAGATACAGTAAGACACAATATATAATATAAATGTTGGGCACCCACGAGTCCTAAGCCACATTACTAAGTCATCTAATGACCGAATGAAAACTTCCAGAAAACACCAATTTGTCACCGCTGAATGCTCATAAGATTTGATGATTCTGTCAGTTAAGAGAATTGTTGAGGACTACAACGGCTTCTAGCCCTACTACAAAGACTTGGCATTGTTGCTACATGTCTCTAAGCCATACCAATATACCCCCTTATCGAACGAATTCTTTTAGTTTTACATTCGTAAGTTACTAAATCTGAAGAATAAGTCTCCTCTCAAGATGTCATTTATTCTTATTCAATGATATCATGAAGTACCTAGATATATGTGCTAGAGGCTCTGACGAGAACGGGCTGAGTCTGGGCATGCCTTTTGTTTACAGGGCGTTGGACTATGCTACTTGCAACTTTAGAATTCCTATTGGAGGACATGCTTAGTCTTTGTAAAGACAATCCTATTCAAAGAAAATTCCGACCGGAATGACTGTAAATACGTCCTTACTCGACTTGCCCCCCGAGCGAGACATTCCTAGTTGCTCATGAAGCGTCATCAATGTTGACATTGTTGCATATTTCCCCAAACACCTCCATAGTGTGATCGAGGCGTTCTCTAGTCTCGCCAATTCTCACCGCCATGTCATTTCCTAAGGCAAGTATCATTTCTTTCTCGCGGCCCTTGCCTACGCCCTGGCCCACAACTACATCGTATATAGCCTGGCATGCTTTGATGTGATCGCCGCGTACCTCAAAATTCCCAGAGTTGAGAACTTCGAAGTACTTCGCTGTCAGACTCCCGTTATAATCAGGGTCGAGCCCCTTTGAGACCATGTTGACTTTGCCAACCATAGGCGTGTTGAAAGCTCCAAGGTACACCAGGAGAACGCGCACGTTGAAGTCCTGCATCTCCTTATGAAGTACCTTTGTTAAGCCTCGAGGATGTTAGCCTTGGTTAGAGAGGTAGGTAATCATAAAGTGCCACTCACCATCTAAAGCCGACTTGGAAGCGCCGTAGACGCCTAGGGAATTACGGGCTTCCATCCCGGCGCCACTGCTGATATTGACGATCATACCGGAGCGTCTCTTACGCATATGGGGTGCCGCGGCACGCATTAGGCGATACGGACCGAAGAAGTTGGTCTCCATTACCTGCCGGACTTCGTCTTCAGTGCACGACTCGACTGGCCCTGTCATCCCGATGGCTGCGCTATTGACCAGAACGTCAATTGCTATACCTCGCGCTTCTACATCTTCGATAACTTTGCCGCAGTCTGATTCATCTTGGTCTATCCTCATCCACTCTCCTCCTTTTGCCGTGATCTCTTCAACGAGTTCAGGTGTGCGACTCGGGTTGCGGGATGTTGCTATGACTTTGTGTCCGTTCGCTTGTACGATGCGAGTCAGGGCTAGGCCGAATCCTGATGAGCAACCTGTAATCAGCCATGTTAACTTCTTTGCCGCGGAATTCTCGGATGACATGATGAGTGCTTCGAGATTAAAAACGAAATTCGCAATGGAAATAAACGTGTAGATGAAGTCAACTGTGGAAACAATGTCTCGATAGGTTTGGGGGGTAGCTGTCTCCTTGTCTAGGGACTATTCACGAAGGATTATATATCTCCAACTCAAGGAATATTAGAAATCGCCTCAGTTAATGGAAGCTTGGATCGGGTTATGTGAAGAGGTGGGCTTGTTCGGCGGACTTAGGGTTAACTCCAGATTCCAATCTCCAATCGATCGAATAGCACAACTACTATATTTCAGGGTATGTTACATCATAATACTTATCGGATTAGTGGACTTAATGGCAGTGTACTGTCTCATAGCTATCAACCATCCAAGTCAAACTATGGATGTCATGCCTAAATCAGGGAGTGGGTTATCTCAAACGAGACTGCTATGTTGAGACTGAACCTGAGATATTGTGACGGATGCCTTCTTACTTCCTAATACCATCAAATCTGATGGGTTTGATGATAACAGTGCTGCTCTAAAGGCACCTGAATATACCTCTTAGGAGCTGTCACGATAGCAGCGACTTAAATACACAAGGGCCTTCTTGAACTTACCTACATATCTGAGGCATATATTTACCTATGTAGCTACCTCCTATGAAGGATCAAAGTAAAGTGGCTTACTTATGTAGTCTGCATGTTAGCTCCTCTAAAGCTAGGTCCCCTAATATCTACAAGTCAGTATTGAGGACTGCCAAAGAGATGTGTCCCAGCAGATCGTTGATGATTACCTATTACGCTGAGCGTCACGTGCCGAGGCCCGTGTATGTATTGGGGAGGTAGCTCGCTCTGTCCGGTTAAAGGCCGGAAGCATCTGTTTGAATGCTAGGCAATCGCTTAACCTGGGTGGCTTTAAGGCATATAGGGCGTATTACACTGCCCCAAATCACAGCAAGTAGATTGTCCCTTGACCCGGATGAGTTTACAATGGGCGCTTTGGCGGAGTGGTTAACGCGATGCCCTGCTATTACACGATAGCCAAGGCATTCCCTTCGGGGGCGTGTGTTCGAATCACACAGGCGTCGAATTTGTTTTTTGCCTTTTTTCGCGGTTAGTACCCCTTGTCCAGTGCAAAAGCTGCGGTTGCGAAGAATTTCCCCGCCCTGTTTGCCTCCTACCCCTTTCCCTTTTTTCTCTTTTTGAAAGAGAATGCAAGTTAGAAATGATGCTATCCATATATGCGACGCCGCTTGTCACTCAGGATATCACCATTCCAGAACTTGAGCTTTCGCCGCATAGCATTTATAAACCAACATGACCTGTTAATTCTTGTTGATGCAACCATTCTTCTATCGTAGTGCAGCGATGGTCTTGGCGCAATAGTCAGGGCACTGAGGATGAAGCGGATGACGACGAACATAGATGCCGAAGCCTATGCATCGCGAAGTTCGAATCGCATTTTGAACTGGTGCGGGCGTTACTAAATTTGACACTCGGCTCTCTATAAAGTAGCCTCTCACGACCTTTTTTTCCATTCAACTTACTAGCCGTTCCCCACACTCGTAACACGAGATCGTGGATCGAAAAGAAAGTATGGCGGCGTTTCTAGTAGAATATACTAAATATCTAGTTGATCCTCACAATGTAGTTATTAAGGGAAGTATTTTCTCTCCTACCCACCTGGCTGCCGCGGTAGGAATGCATCGCGTCGTCAAGATTTTGATATCTCGGGAACACAGCGTCACGACCGGCTCTGCTAACTTTGGGGACGTGCTGCCCCTACACCTCACAGAGGCGACCAAATACAGCCGCGAGATGATGATACTTGCGAAGAGGCGCACGACCTAACTTATTCCATCGAAATCTCGTGTCAACATTACTGAAGTTCCTTAGTGACGGAAAGAACGATTATCGGTCTGTTCATGGCGATGCTGAGTCTGTGTTCTGATGCCGTTTCGTCGTGCACCACGGTTAGAGTGCTTGCCATCGCAGTGCTTGGATTTCGCTCGTTAAGCGCATGTGGGGTACCTATTATTCGTCTATTAAGGCTGAACGGTGTTGGAAGCTTGGAAGGGATGGAAGATACGCTGTTGGAAGGATTGTGGACGTTATAACCTTCTCTATGGCACCATTACACTATCGTACCTTCTAACTCAACCTATTTATCCGCGCCTCCATCAATAGAGAGGAATATTCAATGCCTCTGAAGACTGTTCTGATTACCGGCTGCGGCCCGGGTGGCATCGGCTCGGCGCTCGCCACCGAGTTTCACATGAGGGGCCACCGGGTCTTCGCGACGGGCATTTCGGAGGCACAGCTCACGCACTTTGAGGGCCGCGGCATCGAGACGGTGGTCTTGGATGTGACGTCGCAGGACTCGATTGAGCAGGCTGTGTTGCATGTGTCAAAGCTAACTGGTGGCACGCTGGACATCCTGATCAACAACGCCGGCGTCCTGCACGCGATGCCGTTTGCCGACACGGACGTGGCCGCGGCGCGCAGGCTGTTTGACGTCAACGTACTCGGCGTGTTTGCAGTGACGAGGGCGTTTCTCCCGCTGCTGCTAGCCGCTGCGAGAAAGGATGGCGGTACTAGAGGGGATGCGTTGGTCGCGAATGTTTGCAGTGTGAATTCCGAGATCCGACCGCCTCTCTTCGGCATCTACAACGCATCCAAAGCAGCGGTCGAGGTCCTCAGCGCTAGCATCCGCCCCGAACTCGCGCCTTTGGGGATTCGGGTTGTCACTATCAAGACGGGCAGCGTCAACACCGAATTATTCAATAACGCGCCTCCGACGAAACTCCCAGAAGATAGCATGTATCGGCCGGTGAGGGAGTTCATGGAACAACGGAAGATGCTGGAGAAAGCGCCGTATATGGAGCCTGAGGTGTACGCGAGGAAGGTTGTTGATGAGCTACTTAGATCTTCGGTCAAGAAAGTCATCTGGCAAGGCGGCTTAACGACATTTGCGTGGATCCTTAGCTGGTTTGGGTGGGAGGGGATGATGGTGAGTTGCAACAAACTTCCATCGTTATTCGATCAAACTAACATGGCATAGGATAGAATCTATATCAGAGAGAACAAACTCGACAAGTGCGCAATACAGGGAACACGGAATTAATGGAATTGGTCTCGTTGTTTCTTCGGGTCGGCGGAGCTCGCAGACGGTGGATAATATACATTAAAATAAACGGCTCGTTTCCCAATGGCCGCCTCTTGGTCTGCTTCCACATCGTGAGCATTAGTGGTTTATGAGTTCAACCTTCTTTGAACGTACTCGGCTATTGCTAACCTTCCTTCAATAGAGTGGTAAAATCCATCGTTGCCATCGATGGGCCCCGTGTTCGATTCGCGGCTAATGCATTTCTTTTTCTTCTTTTCCCTTCCATTCTGCCGTCGAGCAGATGTATGAAAGACTTAGGCGTTGGAGAATACAACCTCCCTCTTGCTGCTTATTAAATCCTAACCATTCTCTACCGCTCAATGCCACTGATGAATTCTTAGAGAGGAGATACTTCGAACCTGAGCAACTCTAGCACATATTGATTCGTGATGTTGAAAAGTTGAAAAGCATAATTGGGTTTACATGTATGCCACAAAGCGGTATTATATGCAATAATCGATGCTACTCAAGTAGCGAGTGATAGCTCCACTCGGCTAGATTTCAGGGGTAGCCCACCTTTCACGCACAATAATGACCAAAATACATGAAATATCTCGCAGACAATAGAGACAAAAAGAAATCGATGAAATTGGCAAAATAGAAGGGTTTGGCCGGGGATTGAACCCGGGACCTCTCGCATACATGCTGTAGGGTGTACCCTAAGCGAGAATCATACCACTAGACCACCAAACCAGCAGAAGACGAACGATTCGTGCTTCTGAGCTGCGTAGAGCTGCTTGTTGTCGAAGTTTTGTGGCTGTTATTGGCGTATAAATGCTGCGGTGCGGGGAGGGCCTAGGATGGATGAATCAACAAAATGCAGGTGGCGGATAAAGGCCCGAAAACGGTTGGTCCCTGAGACCGCACTGCAAGTGGCAGCCGTGGATCTACGCAAACTTGCATTTGCTAACTTTAAAGGGCTAGGCACGCCAGGAACTCGAGCTTTAAGGTCTGTATATGGTCCCTGCGGTATGACAAGGTGTGAACGGGCGTTGCTATGCTTTTTGAAGCTGTCATTCTCTTTAGCCACAACGTTGTAAGACTCGAGATTATACCTCACAAACCACAATGTCTCAGCGGGCATATCTTGTGACTAGATAATGTGTCCTCCTCTACCTTCGTTTTCACAATCATTGTTACACACCGGATCCTTGAGGGGTCAGTCACCCATAACCCGCGGGGCGGAGGATTCGTGGTGTGGCTTAGTCATCGTCAATAACACTGCATCGGGGTGCAACTGTGGCTGGTCTCGCATTATCATTATCGTGGCACAACATCCCGTCAGACGAGAACTCGATCCGATGACAATCTGTCATCTCGACGTTGACGTTTCTCCCGCCGTTTTAAAAGTAGCCAAACTTCATTATTTCTAGCGCCCATGAAAAAAAAACGCTATCCGCACCCTAACTAAACTTCGGCTTCGAACCTACTCTCTGTGGTAACCTTGATCGCCTAATCCTGGGAAGCCGTTGGAGAATATCCGCCCGGGTAATTGTAGCGCGGCAGGTAACAACTTACTTCCTTCCACTCAAGTCTTGTTCCGAGAGTCCCGCTCCCCAAACCGGCCCGCATCCGCGCATCCGGGAGTATTCTAGGAAGGCAGAAGAATGGGCTGGCCGTGGCAGATCTACACGCTCGACGCGGCCGAGAGGCAGGCCCGGCGGCAGGCGCTGGACCGGTACGCGGCGATCGCGCAATTCTCGGCGCTTGTCCCCATCGCCGCCGTGGTGCTCTACCGGTTTGGGTATTGGCTAGCGAGACGGTTCTGGTCCCGGTCGGACCGCGGCGACTACTCCGCCGTTCCGAACTCGCCGGCGCTGAAGCAGAGGCGGCGCAGTGTCGCCGGCTCTTGGGTTGCGGCGCTGAGAAGTGTCGCGTGGTGGCTCGGCGACGATGTCGTGTTTCTAGGCCAGAATTGGGGCCAGAGAGATCAGATCGTTGTCGGCTTTGCCTGGACGGTGTGGCTTCTGTTTCTCTGTGTAAGCAGTACTGGAAATGGTGAGTATCATTATTTTATCGTTATTCAAGGTGGTGGCCATTCGAATAATCGATGGAATTCAATTATATCTCATCTACGAATGTGAAAAGGCACTGCTTAACTCATCTGATGGGTGGAGGTCTAAAGGTTATGGAAGCTGATCTGATCTAGACTACCTACATTTAACAAAACGATTCGGGATAGTCGGTCTGTCGCAATTCCCACTACAGTACTTGCTGGCGCTCAAGAGCATCAATCCCATCGCCTTCGCGCTCGGGTCGTCTCATGAGCAAGTCAACCGGTGGCATCGTGTTCTTGGTTGGATCATCTACTTCCTGCTCTTCATGCATGCATGCTTGTATCTGAACTTCTACGTTCAGGAGGGCATTCTAGCCGAGCGGCTCGTTCGTCGGGTTCCACTGCTTGGTCTATCTTCCATCATCGGCATGAGCCTAATGAATACTACAGCTCTCCGGTTCATTCGCCAATATTCGTACCGCGTCTTCTTCATTACGCATCTCATAGTAGCGGTGATGCTTCCACCAGCCATCTTTTTCCATTCCCGACATAGCGGCCGCCCATATGTGGTAGTGGCGCTCCTTGTCTTCCTCGTCGACTTGGCCAAGCGCAAGTTCGATACCGTCACCGCGCCAGCAACTTTTGAGCTCATACCCGGGACGAGTCTGATCAAAATCGTGGCCAGCATCCCCTCCAGGAAGCTCGATCGCTTCCGCAAGTATCCTGGGATGCACGTGTACTTGAGTATCCCAGCCGCCGCGCGCCGCAGTTCCAGCATGGCTGCGGCGGCATACCTTCTCTTCGAGTTCTCATTTAACCCTTTCACTATCGCGTCGGTTGATGAAGAGTCGGGAGAATTAACTCTAGTCGCTCGACGCCAGAGAGGACCTATGACGGGGGCATTGGCTCGATTCGCGGAAGATGGC